TCTCGAGTTACAGAACAAACTGCATTAGAATGCAAGGCAATAAAGCAAAAAACTAGAAACATCCTTGACAAAGAAATACTAGCAGTTTAATTAAAACAAAGTAGTCCAACATGTGCCTCAGAAATAGTTAAGTTTTTACAGCATATGTCTCTGCCAATGTACCAACACAAGATGGACTTAATACCAAAAAGAAAAACAAAAACAAAAACAAAAACAGTTCAACCTTTTTATTTAAAAAAAAAAAAAAAAGAAATGACAGCAAAATCCCTAAAAAAAAAAGGAAAATTAACTTTCAATGGCGACTATATTACATACGTGGACAGTAATTTCCAAAGAGGCACACTAATGGGGGCACGAGTCTGCTACAAAATAGCTGAGACAAAACGATGTACCTCAAAATGTTTTGCAGGACTACACTGTCTTTTCCTTCAGAAGAGGCTTTTGTAAGTCTTCTCACTCGGCTTAGCTCCGTCTTCGTCTGTGCATACTTACGCTGCACTGTCAAACAGTAACAAAAGCCCTAATCAAAGGGAGAGACACTACACTTACCTCTGTCTGATCTGAGGTCTTATCAGATCAGTTTTAATTGGACTGAGTGTCACCTTCAGATTTAATGTCTTCACTGGTCCCATTGACCTCATTCTTAGTATCACTTTCCTTCGAGTCAGTGTTTGTGTCTTCGCTTTGTTTTTCTCGACTACTGGACTTCACACTACTTTTTTTATCATCAGATCCCCTCTTTTCTGCCATAAAAGAAGACATTGACCATGGAATTTAGAGTAAAATACAACAAACACATTACTCTTTAAAAAGGGAAACAACAGAGATGAACAGATCCATTTCCCACAGCCTGCAAGAAATAGTTTGCAGAATTCACCAGTGATGTTGTTTGTAGTTTATAGGAAAGGCCAAGAAGAGGACTGAAAGGAAACAGAAGGCAAAACTTGCTAAATTCACTTCAGAACTGAAAACTGCAGTACACTTCACTCTAGATAAAGAATGCACAGAGGCAACAGGGAAGGTATAAAAGACAGTTCACAAAGCTGTTAGCACCAAGTTCATTCAGCTGCAAGGGCAAAATAGTAACCAGAAAAAAAAAATTAACCTTTAAATGACATGTTTACCCAATGATATGTTTTATTAAAAAAATGTATGATTATTTATCCAAGAGGGGCATATGCAATAAAAAAATGGAATCTTAAAAATTTAAGACCCCAGACCTCTGTTTTCACTAGATGTAAAGAAATCTAAGAGTTTTTTCCCCTTAAGGAAAAATTAAAATCAATTCAGCTACAAAACAGTAGTTTCCAACTTCCCCTACTGCTGTGTTGGAAAGGTAAAGCCCAGGCTAAGGTGAAGTAGCATACTCTGCCTTCCAGTTCTAAGTACCCCTCTAAAAAACAGACTCTGCAGAAACTTGAACAGTTAGACACCTTCCATAAAAGCTGTCTTCCCCCTTAAAACTAAGACTAACTAGTCTGGTAAAGTAGCTCACGATGGGAAATGTCTAAAGAGAGGAGCTCTACGTGCATTGCCGTTACAGAGGCAGCACCAAGGATGGAAACGCAAACACCGTGTTACGAACTCGCCCTCTTACGAAAAGGAGGAGTGTGATTAGGTCCAACATTGGTGAACCGGGCAGAGCGATGTCTAAGGTTAACCACAGACCCGCTTCACGTCCTTCTGTCCACTTGTGGGAACTGTGCTCTAACTAACCTTGAGGTAAAGTCCTCCCTTTGTGCCTTATGGGCTTCTCCGGTGCACAGGTGGCTTCAAGAAGGAAGAGTCGTCTTGTTGCCCCGTAGAGGACTAGTAGTCCAAAAATCTTATCTTCTGGCCTATGTAAATATGGTAGATCTTAATAGTCCCAAGGATATCCATAATGTGTGGTGGATTTTAGAGTTAAGGATTAAAGGAAACTCTCTGAACAAAGAGAGCACCTACGTAGCTATGTGTGGGAAATGACTTCTCACTTGTGGAGTTAAACTGCTGCTGTTATGATTACAGCACGTGAGGCAGCAAACCGCCTCACTCACCTGCCATTATCAAATGCTTGCTATTGCAGACACCTGACCCCAGAGGCCAGAATACTAGTATTCGTACTCAGAAGTGTCTAGAACTTTCAAAAGTCAATAGACTCACCACCTCAAAAGTTAAACTCTATTGACAGCATGCCCAACCAAGATAGGCCTGATAGTTTTCTCAGTATCTAGTCTTCCTTCTTTCCCCAAGTCTCAACAGGAAACTTAAGAGTTTTACTAAATTCATTTTGTCACAGGTCAATAATTCAGGACATTTTTTGCTTTCCCTAGAAATTGTACAAATGTGTCTATTTAAGTGGCGTGACTGGACAAGAGCAACTAATCAACAGCGGAACTATGGGGCCGAAAGCCTCACAAACATAGGTGATTAATTTGATCTGATGCACGAGTCACCAGATGACTCTTGACACCAGGTGACTCTTAAAACTGCTATCTCACTCCAAAAATATGCCAAAACCTTGCTAAAAGAGGGCAAGAGGAGACCCTCTCAAACAAAGCAGGAACCCTTTACCCCAAATGCCTTTTGAATCCCAGAAGCAATTTCTGAATTAAAAATGATAAACACTAAAGCTCCTGAGAGGTGCACATGTGCCCCTTACTGCAAATGATCAAGGGCGGGCGGGCG